TGAGATAGAGCTGGGACTGAAGATACAGAAAGAAGGGTTCTGAAGGGAACCTGGAAATTTTATAGAATCTGTTAAAAGTCCAGTTTTGGTAAGTTGTACTTGGACCAATACCATTTTTTCTGAGGCTGGTGCCTTCTATCTTCCAAGGACCTCTTACATCTTTCTCATTCAGGTAGCCTTGGTGGAGGTGAAAGCCCTGCTCTTGACTCTTCCAATCTGTACAACTCTAGATTTTGGTTCTAGTGGTAATGTTACTTCTAGTGTCACTCATATTTATAGTGTGGATCAGAAAGTGTCTGCTGTAGTGCTGCTCTGTGTAGGAATGGTCCCCTCATGTCTCTGAAACTGAATGCTGCCCCAGACAGATCCTCACAAAATGGGCATCTCGAAATAGGGGTTGAGAACAAGGAATGAAGATGGGTATTTGTGTAAGGAGGGACTAGCAGAATTTGCAGTGTTAAAAACCAAGCACATATGATGGATAAGGTGAACAGGGAACAGGCTACTTGCTATCACCTCAAAATAAGAAACATCCTAGCACCTACTGCTAGCAGCACTTTAAAATAGATGAAAGGAAGTACTTTTCACATGGCATGTAATTTAATGTATGGCACTGCTGTTACCCATTGGTGGTGAACAGATGTCAGGATGCTGCAGGGCTTATCTCAGTTTTGGGTATCCCAGTGATGTCCATAACTGCCTGCTCTGTTCCTGAGGGCGTGAGAGATGGAAACCTGTGTGCAGATGTGGAGATTTCAGTACGTGCAGGCAGAGTGGTCGTGGCATTGCAGTGCTCATGTTGGGTTTTGGTCATGCCCTGAACAAGCAAAAAAGTTGTTTTTTGACTCAGAAGAGTGGGAACTTCTTTTCCAGTTTCACATGCAGTAATGGGTAATGACAGAGTTAAATGCACATACTGTGTCTCCATACTGTAGAAAAGCTAGAGCATGGAGAGGTTTAGAGGGGTCTTTCCTTAAAAGAAACCAAACACATATATAAGACCAGTACTGACAGGAAAAGTATTTCCTCATTCATTTCCTTGGGAAGTAATTTGAACACATTATCCTCGCTTGTCCTTGAATCTGGTGTTTGCTCAGTATATAGGAATGAACACTTGTACAGAATGGTTTTTATTTAGTTACACAGGATATAAGCTATCTACTTACATTTTACTCCAGGTTGTTATAGCTTTGCGTATTTGCAGGGTCTGATTTTAGGATTCTAGGGACATCTACATGCTGTGCAAAGTCTTCCACAGCTGAGAGGTTACTGTGATGGCTGGTACATTTAACATTATATAAGTTCTTCTGCTGATGCAAATTGTCCTACCATCCAATAATCCTGGAGCTCACCCTAAAATCAGGTTACCTTGAAAAGCTATTGCCTTGCTAAGAAAAACTTGCTTTGATATCAGATACCATAGCTTAGAATCCGAAGGTATATGCTCCAGGATGGAGGGCCACAAGGATGATTACAGAGCTGGAGCACCTCCCATATGAAGATAGGCTGAGAAAGTTGGGGCTATTCAGCCTGGAGAAGAGAATGTTGAGTGGAGACCCCATAGCAGCCTTCCAGTATCTGAAAGGGGCCTACAAGGATACTGGGGAGGGACTCTTCATTAGGGACTGCAGTGGTAGGACAAGGGGTAATGGCTTCAAACTTAAACAGGGGAAGTTTAGATTAGATCTAAGGAAGAAGTTCTTCACAGTGAGGGTGGTGAGGCACTGGAATGGGTTGCCCAAGGAAATCGTGAATGCTCCATCCCTGTTCAAGGCCAGGTTGGACAGAGCCTTGGGCGATACGGTTTAGTGCAAGGTGTCCCTGCTCACGACAGGGGGGTTGGAACTAGATGGTCTTAAAGTCCTTTCCAATCCTAACGATTCTATGATTCTGTGATTCTATATTGTGGTTTCCTCCACCTCCTTTCCACACAGAACTTGAACTGTCCTTGCTGTCCATCTCACAGCCTCAGGCTCCAACCTGAGTGTCCATGTATTGCTAGGCTACCTGGCCAGTGCTGAATAAGGTGTTAGAACTACTGCAAGCCCAAAAGCTCCCAAAACATGTATCAAGAGCTAGAAGAGCTTGGAGAGTTTGAGATTTTGCATGGAACACTGATATTTCAATTGCATTGGGGGATTCTCCTCCCACATTACCACAATAACCAGGTGAGGGGCTGGAGAAGTAGTTCTTGCTTATAGTGCTTCTGCAGCTTGCTCTTCTGGGGCCCATACCTAATGGGGCTGTCCCTAGGGAAATGATACAGTGGTTGTGTGCATTTCCTATTGCATTTGTACAACTTTTTCTTTTGATAATATGTATACAAGTGATTCTCTGGCCATAATCATGTTTGGACAGGGATTAAATAAAATAGGTAAGCAATTTGATAGAGATAAGTGGAAGTGTCTCGTATCAGCTTCGCCCGTGGCATTTTGCTCCTCTTTGTGATTACTTGGTAGGCTTGCAAAAAGATAAATGCTGCCGTTTTGGTAAAAAATACTCAGAGATCAAAGCAAATCTGACCTTGCAGTTATCTTGGGATTTAATTATTAACCCAGCAATTTTGGAAGTGAGTGGGAGGGTGACAGCACGCCTTGAGCAGTAGCTAAGGTACAATGTGAGCTGTTCCCATACAGAGTCATGTGGTGAGCCATGTGCAGAGCCTGTCACTGCTACTGCCGGAGGACTTGCTGGCCATGCTTAGAGAAGGATTTGTTTGTTTCCTGTGCTGGGATTTGGTCCTGTCATGTCAGCTGCAAACACTGTGCCTTGCTTCTTCAGCCCTGGCTCTTAGCATGCAATTAGCTGCTGCACACAGCTCAGTGTGGCTGTCTCTGCGACTGCTGATCCATGAGCATGATGTGTGGCCTGTTGTCAGCCTTGGTATTTCAAGAATTGTTGGGATTTTACATGGGTTAATTTGAAATGTCAGAAAACACAAATGCTGTGGATTTCTGAGTGTATATAAAATGTATTTGTCAGACCTCCCCTTGTCTCTCACTGGTGGGAATGAAATTGTAGCCCCTGTGCTTGTTAGCTCTCCTTGACTGCCTGGTTTAGACTTGTCAGGAAGAGTGAATGGATGTGAGATGAATGAGTCTGGATGGGGATTTAGACAACCAGACTTCTCACTGGCAAAAGACTGCAAACAGATTGGTGCAAGCTTATGGTTCTTCAGAGCATATAGGTGGCAAGCATAAATGATTTTTTACGGATTAGTGAGCAAGGTCCAAGCCCAGAGAGCTCCTTGTTAGAGAAGGAGTTATTTCAATCTGTCATGCCTCAGCTACAGAAGAGCTATGGGAACATCAGTGAATGCAAACAAAAAAATGCTTGCAGTTTAGCTCCTAAATGCTTACCCATGAATACTATGCAGTGCAAAGTCTTTGCTAGGGTATTTATATCAGGAAAGTTTCTGGGGCAATGTGTGCCTTACCAATCTCCCTACCAATGTAGACACAGTGGTCCTCAGCACAGCACCAGATGTACCAAAGGAAAACACTTTCTCCACATAGGAGTTGTTTCTACCCACTGTGTTTTACAGGGTAGCTGGAAAAAAAAATTGGCATGAGGCATGGCCATACTCACCCAAAAAGTCATTTTTCATGATAAAAGCAAAACAGTGTGGGAAAGTGGAACTGGTTGACGTATCAGATCTGGCAGTATGGATGTACGAAATCTGGCTCCCATTTTAGGCCAGGTACAGACTGTGGTGGTAACGGAGCGTGCACCCACAGTTGCCAGGCAGTTGCTAGCAGAAGTTTAGCTCTTGGTGGCCTTACATCACTTTGGACTATCAAGTATGCTTTAGTGTATGCCAGGACTAGCAACGAACTCTTAAATATGACTACACATGGATGTTGACAGGCTGGGTTAATTCACGTACTTTGGCAAATGTTGCACATGTTCTCTGAAAGTCAAGGTTCACCAAAGAGGCTCTGGAAACCCCCTACATCCCACACCCCAGTGCTTGACTGAGCTTGGTGCATCGAAGCCAGCAATAAGGCTTATGAAACCCTGGCTAAATAGGGCATCTTCTGCAGTGGGGCTGTGCGCATGAGGGTTTCCAAAGAGCATCACTTTGCCCGTTCCTGAAAGCAGCATCATGGCCCAGGCCACCCAGGCTGCTGCCTGGATGTGACTGGCCCAATCCAGCCTGCATTAGCAGAAAAACAGGCCTTATCCAGTTAGAGGGCAGGCATGTGGTACGAGTGCAGGATCAGGCCCCAACCCCTGGAAATGAAACACGGCTCAGTCAAAGGCAACGGGAAGACAAAGCCACCTGGAAAGAGTTAGCTGTTCAAACTGGGGGCTGGGCAGGGGGCCCTGCTTTCATCTTTTTATAGTATAAAAATTTTGTGACTGAAATAAAGCCCTACTGTTTGGACTGGATGATGTTACCTAATTCTCAGAAATGAGAGCAGCTGGCCATGGTGCAGATACCGCCTAGCAAGCCCTGCAGTGCATAGCACATCATTTAGCAGGGCTGTAAAAGAAAGGACATTTATTAAGGGGCTTGGGAGTGAAACTGAATGTGCTGGCTTGGCTCTCACCTGGTGGGTTTCATTTCCAGATCCTCTGTTTTATTTTCCACATAAATAAATAAATTTATTTATTATAAATTTAGCCTGCCTTCCCTAACTGCTTTTTCGCATGCCTTTGGGTAAACCCCACACTGAGAGCCTGGGTGTCTTGATATGAATGTTGTTGACCTTGTGGCGATGTAGCTAAATAAGCAAAGGTCCTGACAAAATCCACTTTCATGAAGATCTGGAAAAGAGGTGTTATAAATCACCTGTTTTGGGGAATTTTCATTCTGAGGCAAAATGAAAACAAAACAATGTCCTGAGCCCACCAAATAATGGGAACTTTGCAAACACTTATTGCAATTTCCAGTTCTTCCTCTTCCTGCCTTTCACCGTCCTCTTCCAGCCAGTTGCTTAAGTTGGCAACATCAGGCTGATCTTTCTTTCTCATCTTTGCCTCTTTGTGTAATATAGTGTGAGAAAAAAAGTCATAGTTTTTGGGGCTGGGTTTCTCCGTTTGCCTATAAGACAGATTTCCTTGCTGATGTAGTCACCAAAATTGACCCCAAGCTGATCCTGGTGGTCTTACCCCGCTTTGCACTGGTGCAAGGTACTGCTAGCTGCTCTCATACAGCCCATCCTGGCTTTCCCACAGCAGCTGAGTCTGCCAGCAGCAGCAATGTGTCCGTTACCCACCCACAGATGATGGAACTAAGAAATATCTGATGCCTTTTTTTTTTTTTTTTTAATGGTGTTTCCCAAGAGATGTCCTTTCGGAAAATGTGTCCCTGAGTGTGCCAGTCAGTGGCAGTCCAAGGCATGTTGGGACCTGGGGAGTCCAGACTTTGTCTTAGGGAATTTCTCACTTAGAAATAAATTAAGGTAAAAAGACCCCAGGTTGTTCAGTTCACAGTATCTGGAGATCAGTATTTCAGTTAAATAGTTAAACTTTACTTTAAAAAAGCATGCAAATGTAAGAAGTTGAAATGTTAAACTATTACACCTGTAACTTCAACTTTGAAAGTCCCAGAAATGCACATGGTGACACTGGGAATAGCAGGAATTTCCATTCTTCCACACTTGGGAAATCAATTTGTTTCCTGATGGGTCCACTTTTTTTTTAGCCATCCCTCCCTGTGCTGGGTAATACACCTGCAGTATTTTCTGTGAGGAACATGTGAATGCTTAGCAGCTGTCGCTGGATTTTTTATAGAATCATAGAATGGTTTGGGTTGGAAAGGACCTTAAGACCATCTACTTTCAACCCCCCTGCCATGGGCAGGGATTCCTCACACCCGGCCATGTTGCCCAAGGCTCTGTCCAACCTGGCCTTGAACAAGGATGGAGCATTCACAACTTCCTTGGGCAACCCATTCCAGTGCCTCACCACCCTCACTGTAAAGAACTTCTTCCTTAGACCTAATCTAAAGTTCCCCTGTTTAAGTCTGAAGCCATTACCCCTTGTCCTACCACTGCAGTCCCTGATGAAGAGTCCCTCCACCCCCTGCAGATACTGGAAGGCTGCTATGAGGTCTCCACGCAGCCTTCTCATCTGCAGGCTGAACAGCCCCAACTTTCTCAGCCTATCTTCATACGGGAGGTGCTCCAGTCCTCTTATCATCCTTGTGGCCCTCCTCTGGACTTACTCCAACAGCTCCATGTCCTTTTTATGTTGAGGACACCAGAACTGTACACAGTCCCTGTATTTGGTGTTTTAAGTGTGAATGGCCTGACCGTTGGCTTTCCCTATGCTGGCAAATGAGCACTCATGGCAGCAGTGTGGTGGGCTACTAAAGCTAGTGCCATAATCAGCACTGGCAGGAGGACCCCGGGGAGTGGGATGCAACTTTCTCGTGCATGAGCTGGATTAACCGCCACACTCCCTGTGGTTTTGGTCCCTGCTTGTGCAACTGCCGTAATTTTCAAAACGTGCGTTTTTTATTCCTGGCTGAAAGATCCTTACAGATTTTGGGAGAGCAGCCGGTACAGAGGAGGGCATATGCGCCTGTGTCTGGCACCTGCTAACAGGGTGCTGTTAGAGGACTTCACTCAGTGGTAATGAAGCTGGGCAGGATGTGAGCAGCAGAGTTGTCAGGCAGGCAGGGGCCCAGCAGCACACTGAGAAACCAGCAGCAGCATGAGAAAAGCACTAAGGGACGTATTCTGGCTCTGGGAGCTAACATGCTGGCTTCAGTGGGAGCCATATGCACATCAAGGCTGCCAGGAGACAGGCCCAGAAGTTTAGTATTTCTCTGACTGGAATATAAAAGTAATTATGAGGTTGGCCTGGAGCATTCAGAGCTGAATTCGTAACCATCTGGTGTTAATGGCCTGAAGTGAAACTTCAGGCAAAGCTTTCATTTCACTTATTATTCACCAGTAAACTTCCTGGCCAGTGGCTGCAGCTTTTCTTGTTAGTGGTGGAGCTTTGTACCTGCTGCCTTGCTGAGGGGCAGGGGGTTTCAGCAGCCCCCAGAGCAGCTCTGCTTTGATTTTAAGGAAATGGCACCAAGCACTGACAGTGAGAGACTGCTCGAAGACCATAGAGCAATTAAGGAGCTGAATATAATATGTATCTTCCCATTATTTTCACTTCACCGACTTTAATCTTCCTAAAAACCCCTTCCCAGGACCCTCTTTAGTGGCTGTGCTCCTAAGCCAAAACAGATTCTACACTGAAATGTACTCTTAGTGTTGTGTATCCATGAGCAAAATCTGGTTTTAGGGTCTTTGTTAACATGAATCTCAGCCCCTTCCCAGAACAGGACTGGGTGGAAGGACTACATGGAAAGCAGATTTTTTTTTTATTCCAACTGAAATTTTGCAGACAAAGACTTCCCATCATCCCAAATGGTGGGGACAGATATCAGTTTTCTGAAGGGACACTCATTGGTCTTCTAATTGCTCTACACTTTAGGTCTCCATCTGGGAGCAACCAGTGGCCAGTGCCAAGAGGTGCACTGAGCAGGCACAGATGACCTTGACATGATCAGATATGTTGGTAAGGGGAACCATACAGATAGCAAATGTGGTTAAAAAGATAATCAGGCTTGCTTGAGAACTCCAAGAGAAACCCCCCTGCTTGCTAAAATTTGAGATGGAGATTTCTAGTTACTGCTGTGCAGCCCAGAAGGTAGAGAGCAAGTGTTAACTCACTAAGCAGGAGAAATTGAAGTAAGAAGTTGCACAGAGCTATTCAGCCTGCTTCTGCCCAGACATTCAGGTATCTCCATTAAAAATTTTGGGTCAAAACTCAAATGTTCCACTTGAAAAATATTTCTCTTGTCTGCTTTCCTCTATGTAGTCCAAGTACAGCAGCTGAAATACAGCTTGTGAAGGCCATCAGAGTTGTGTTTCTGGATTGAAATAAGTTTTCAGCAAAAATATTTCAGTTCTTTTCACAAACACAACCCCCCCCCCCAAAAAAAAAAAAAAAAATCGGGGCAGGGGATTGCTTACCTTGCTCATCTTCAAACTGCCCACAAAGGAAGGAAGTGCTGTAGAATTGGAAAGCCACTTAAAAAAAAACTACTTTCCCCTGCAATTGCATCTTCCCAAAGCCATTCCCCCATAATCCAATGTTGCAGTGTCTCCCCTTAGGGTAGGTTGTTGTGGCATGGAAGATGTTGGGGTTTGCAGCTCTCCATGGTAACTCCTAATCACTGTGGTCACACTGAGGAGCTTATCTGACCATTAACCTTCATGGTATGTAACATCCCAATGGTCCCTCTTGATGGTTTTGAATTAGTTTTGCATGAGGAGACCCTTGTCAGGAAGCAATGGTAGCTTGCTGTGTATTTGCTGTAAGCTGTCCCATCTGCACACTACCAGTGAGTTTGCCCTTGGGTTTTTTGCACATTGCCTCTTCTGAGGCATCGAACTCAGATTATGTAGAAATTTCAGAGGTAAAATTTTGGTCTGTAAGGTGCAGAATATAATCATGCTGATCACTTTCTTTCTCCTCATTTGTCTCCAAAGCCTGTTGCTCACCAGGAAGCCCGTGCTATGCTCTGCTTTTATTCATGGGGCTTATTTCAAGACCTACTAGGGAGGGAGCATCCTCATGCCAGCACAGCTTCATCTTTACATTGCTGTTCAACTAGCACATTTGTCTTCTCCTACAGTTTTTGCCAGAATCCTGAAGGCTCCTGAATCCCAAAATATCACCTTTGGGTCTGTGGTGACATTGCGGTGCGCAGCGACCGGCCTTCCAGTCCCCACTGTCACCTGGCTGGAAAATGGGAAAGCTGTAAGTGCCTTTTTTTTCATGCTTTTGGCCCTGGAGGGCTGCTAGCAGTCGGAAGCACAGCCCAGGGATTAAAATGCAAGGCTGGGAGCCAGCGCCTGTGGTTTCTATTCCTGCCTGATTTAGCGCCTTGCTGAGCAATCAAGCTGAGCCCACCTCACCTCCCTCCTGCAGTTTTCCTCTCTGCAAAGCTCTCCCCCTTCTCCGGGGTGTTGCGTGGGTTAGTGTGATGGTCTGGGAAGCCTGAGATGAAGAATGGTTTAGATACTTACAGACTTCCTCTGACACAGGGTTTCTAGGATTCCGTTGTGGGTTTAAGTATTTCTGAAGCCACCTTTCCTCTCTATTCTAATGTGGTAACAATAACATGGCAAAATTGTTTATTTGACAAAATACACAAACTGAGGTAGTTAGGTGGTGCAAACTCCCTTGAGGCAGAATACCTGTAGGTCAGCATATACGCACAGCATATCTGGAGATGAATAGATCTGAAATTTTCTAGACTGACCTAGGTGACACACTGAAGCATGTCACCAATTTATTCCTGGCTAGAAGCCCATCCTCAAGAAAGGTACACTTTCTTCAGTGGCAGGATGCAAATCCACTGCTTCTCACAGGAAATTTCTCTGTGGTCTAATGATCCTGACCATTCTAAATAGGTGCCTGCTTTGAACTAGTCTGGCTTTCATGGCCATGGGCAGGCTATTGCAACGCCTTCTCTTCAGCTGAACTGAAGAGCTGCTTGACACCTGATATTGTCTCCCCAGGAGTAAGTGGTGCACCACAGTCACAGCAGCTTTGCAGTCTGAGCCTGCCACAGGTTTCCTCTAGTCTTCATATGGTTATGGTGGACATGTTTTATACTCTTTGTGGTCTTTCAACAGTTTTTTTAAGGATAACTCCAAGGACGTGATGCTGCGGAGGCAGGTGGAGCAGCCGTTGAATGAGGGGTGGCAATTTGCCTCTGTTCTTTCTCACTGACCATCCATCAGCCCCAAGTCCTTCTGGCCACTAGTTGGCCATGGCCATTCCTGTTCACTTGCTTGTCCAGCAGCACCAATAAATCCTCTTGTTCAAATTCCTTCCCAGGAAAGAACTCTGTATCCTCTCCTTCCATATATTAAAATACATCATAAAGGAGCCTGGAATACTCTGCCAGCTCTCTTGCCTTCATATCTCCTTTAAACCTTACAGTGTACTCCATTCTGATTAGGCCTGATTTTCTATATTCCTTTGAGGTTTCTAGGGAGAACAGCAAAAGGATCAGATCAGCTGCCTCAGAGCCCTGTAGGTCCTTGGTAGTTTCTGGTGATAATTATTTTGAGACAACTGCAGGTGTTCATTCAGGAATTCCTCTCCACTGAGAAAAAACTTTTTGGGGAATCTGCTGTTCCTAGCAAGGGCAGAGCATTTCTGGAACACAGACCTCTGCTTTGCCAATCTCCCACCACTGCACTGGTCCCACAGAGTGGTGTATGAGATGATGCTCAGTCCCTGCCCAAGGCCGTTGCCTGGCTGGTCAGATCTGATCTGCCCCATTGCTGTTTGCAAAGCAAAACCTGGTCACAGGAGGGTGGTGCTCCAGACTGCCTCATTTTAAATGTGGCAGGGAGATCTTAATGGTGCTTGTCTCTGGGTAAGTCGGATCAGGAAGTGGGTGGACTGGAGTGCATGCATTTGAGGGCTGGCTCACAAGCAAGCAACGATGAGTCATTAGAAGATGCAATGTATCTGCAGCTTTATGATTGCTGGACACTGACCTGTAATTGTCCTGTAATTTGTTTAAAGAGAGGTAATCTGCTGAGGTTATTGAACTGTCTTTGAAGAGGAGGATGCAAACTCTTCTGCACAGCAGCAGCCTTGCCTACCTAAACAGAATCATAGAATCGTAGAATGGTTAGAGCTGGAAAGGACATAAGGCCAAAAAACATCCCTGATCCCTGCATTTGCACAGTAACCCACCCATCCCCGATGCAATACTTTCAAACTGTGCTGGTCTGGCTATATAGTGATTTCTTTGCAACCATGTTCCCTCACCACAACTCCAAGCTGATCTTCAGTGAAGCAAAAAAAATACATTATTTTCAACATTTTCTTCTCAGAGAGAAACCTGCTTATTAAAGATGTGATACACCCCTTCATGCTTTTTCAGTAATCACTGTTAATACTTTTCGAAACAAGCACAGATCCCATTGAAATCATGTTTCTCTTAACCTCCAGAGATGTGAAATTGGTCTCTCTGACCTCTCAGATAGTTGTGTAAGTAAAGTGCTTTGCTTGGATGAATCCAGGGAGACAACTCTCACTGTCCTTAGGGCCAGACCACACTGGTGGGATGCACTGGTAACCACACCTCACTTGAATTACACTTAATGTTTTCTATCAAGATGAAGGGTAGAACAGGTAATACTGCTCCTTCCTACTGCCTTTGCAAGGTAGACTCTTGGTCTACCACATCCTCCTACTTTAATGAATGCCATATGAGCAGAACAGGCTTGAGGATAAAATTAAGACCAACTGGCCAAAATCAGCAGACTCCAAGATAATTTACCTCGGAATTTCTGACCAGGAAAGACAGCTGGCCAAAATCACCATGTCTGCAACCCCTTCAATACTTGCAGGTGTGAGATAAGAAAATCTATCACATACCTGCCAAAGTGCCGGAGCCAGAGTGCTTGCTTTGGAAGTGTGGCAGTGGTTATGTTAATCCAGAATCAACAACTTTCAAATTGTTTTCTTTTCTCTCTCTGTATTGCCAGGGTCCACAAAGTTACCTTGCGCCCTTCCTTGCTAAGGCATGAATAGGCAAACAGTTTTCTAGAAGACGCCCTGGAATAATTAGCCAGCTCAATTACATGACCAAAACTAAGACTACAGCCCTCTGGAACAGAAAATTAATTGCAGAATTATTGCTGATGTGTGAAATAGGAGAGGTTCTTAACATTTCTGCGTGGAGACCTCATAGCAGCCTTCCAATATCTGAAGGGGGCCTACAAGGATGCTGGGGAGGGACTCTTCATCAGGGACTGTAGTGGTAGGACAAGGGCTAATGGCTTTAAACTTAAACAGGAGAACTTTAGGTTAGATCTAAGGAAGAAGTTCTTCACAGTGAGGGTAGTGAGGCACTGGAATGGGTTGCCCAAGGAAGTTGTGAATGCTCCAACCCTGGAGGCGTTTAAGGCCAGGTTGGACAGAGCCTTGGGCAACATGGTTTAGTGTGTGGTGTCCCTGCTCATGGCAGGGGGGTTGGAACTAGATGATCTTAAGGTCCTTTCCAACCCTAACTGTTCTATGATTCTATGATTCTATTTGCTTTTGTATGTGAAGTCAGCTGCTGTGAAAGCACCAAAATAATGCCATCAGCTTTAGCTCTCTGCCACTTCTATCTGCGTGCTACATGTTTCTCTACCAATTTAAATACTTGGGGCTGAACCTCTTAGATTTTTCCTTGGTTTGTTTGTTGGCCTTTGTTGGAAATATCACCACTGTGCTGGGCTTTTTGGTCTCCCAGGTTTCTGCAGGCTCTATAGCAGAGAATGTCAAGGACAGAGTGGTTGACTCCAGATTGCAGGTGTATGTCACCCGACCCGGCCTATTCACTTGCCTTGCCACGAACAAACACAGCAAAACTTTTGGAGCCGCCAAAGCTGCAGCAACCATCAGTGTTTCAGGTATGCTGGGAAGAAGAGAGCCATTCTTGTTTTACCCTTGCAGTCACAGTCCTAGCTTCCCTGCTGTGGAGAGGCAAGGGACGTGAAGTACTCTGGAGGGAGGAGAAGGAAAAGCCCTGGAGAGCGGATAGTATGCAGGCGGCTAAATTTGAGTACAAGTGCATCCCCCGCTCAGGCTATTTCCTCATATATTCTTACACTTCGGAGACTGGCACAGCTGTCATTTCCTGAATGTTTGATGCCATCTTGTACTTTGTGTCCCAGAAGCACACTTGGTAAGTTCATCCATGTGGAGGAAGTCATGGCCACGACCCAGCCTTGGTATCACCTAACAGCAAGGTGAAAATAGTTTTCGTGAGCAGTTTGACTTCTCAGGGGTTCGCATTCAGAAAGCAGGAAGGTTGCTGTCAGAGCAGTACCCCACTGTGTCTGGGACAACCTGTACTCCCAGGCTCCCAGGGACATCTCCCAGATGGGGACAGGATGATCCAAAGAGGAGAAATACTGATGGTCTCAGCTAGCTGACAGCATTTGTCACACCAAGAGAAAGGTGGCAGCTTGTGCCTTCCCTCTTGGGACAGGCAGGGGGGTTTAGTTAGAAGAAAGAGGAATCACCCAGGTGTCCAGACATGGAGTTGTAGCTCTGGTCCTGCTGTTAAGCAGGCATGCACCTGCCCCCCTCTCTATGCCTCAGCTCCTGCTCTGTTGATAAAATAACCATGCCCTTTCTTACACTGGGCATTGAAATCTAGCAGCAAGCTCTGCCCCGTAAAAGACTCAGTGCTTGGTACTGTATTTCATATCTGTGCTTCTGCTTTTAGCCCAGCCAAGTCTCTTCCCCGTGAAGCAGAGCTGCAAATGCAATGGGGAAGATGTGTTTTAGGTTGGTTGGACAAGCTGCACTTATCTCCTCCAGACTGCGTGTGCTCAGCAAGAGGGGAGCAGCACCCCCAGACCCAAGCAGGAGCCTTTTCCCAGCTCCCAAATGGTCCTAGGGCAGAGGTGTCCCAGTCCTTAGCAGACGCTCAGTGCCACCTCTCCATGCCGGTGCAGTCCCGCTTCTCCAGCTCTCATGTCTCCCTTCTGATCCAGCTGCTGCCTGCAGTACTGGGTGCATGGGGGGGCTTAAGCGAAGGGTGCTACCTGCCAGTCAAGTGGGACCCAAAGAATAAGGGTGAAAGTGTGAGTTAAGGGTGCAACAGTCCACCTCAGCAAGAACTACAGTTAGCAATCCATTTCCTTCACCTTATTCCTTCTCCCTGTACAGCATCCAGTGTTGCCCAACTATTCTTCTCCATAAGAAGGTGCAAAATAAGGACAGAATTTAGCTGCATCCTTTTCAGACAGTTCAGCTGTCCGAAAATCTTGCATGGAAATCTTAATCCTCACAACTCAGAGGGGGCAAAGAAATGTCACTTACATCTTTTCCATTTCTTCTTTCTCCTGGCTCATCACAATTGCTGGATCTGGTGCATCTTGTCAGAGTGGAGGTAAGAATGACTTCTTGTAGCTTTCTGGGGATTTTCTCTGGGCCAGGGAGAAGAAGAATGACTGTAGTGATAGGACAAGGGGTAATGGGTTCAAACTTAAACAGGGAAAGTTGAGGTTAGATAAAGGAAGAAGTTCTTTACAGTGAGGGTGGTGAGGCACTGGAACAGGATGCCCAAAGAACTGGTAAATGCCCGATCGCTGGCAGTGTTCAAGGCCGGGCTGGCCAGAGCCTTGGGCAACATGGTCTAGTGTGAGGTGTCCCTGCCCATGGCAGGGGGATTGGAACTAGATGATCTTAAGGTCCTTTCCAACCCTAACCATACCATGATTTTATAACCAGGGGGATCTGGTTAATTTGGGCTTCTGGATGCCAAGCATACAGCTGAGGTTCACCTAAAGGGAACACCAAGCTTTTTTATAGAGGCATAATTTGGGACTGGGCTCAGGTACATAGGGATGCTTTTGTATCAAGCAAGCAGTGGCTCACACATCAGTAAGGGTGTTTAAAGTACAGTAGTAGGCAGAATACTTGAGTAAATTTCGTTCACAGTTACATATCCACAACTTCTCTGACCTTGCAAATATATAGGCGAAAACTTAACTGCAAGTTAAACTACTGCCTGTACACAGACAATAAATGTATTTTGATTTGATGATCACCAGTTAGGGCAAAAGGAGTTTAGATATTTGTTTCAAGCAGAGTTACGGATTAGTAAAGCCACTTCTATGTGATCAGACATGCACTTTTGCTCAGTATTTTCTGGAGTACTGAACAAGTTGGCTGGCTTTTTCCTTTTAGATTCCTAGCATATTTCTACATGCTGCGCTGACAGGTCAGTCTGGAGGGAAAATAAGAGGGTGCATCTGGAGAAGGGCTGGAAATTACTGGCCCTCAGAGAAAAGAACAGAGTCTGAGAAAGTCTGAGCAAATGGTTTTGCCATTCTGCTGACAGAGCTCCCTACAAAGGCCCTTGCTTTCCTCACAGGGGCTTGCAAGACTGATTCAGGAAGTAAGTGATTTAGTGATCACCTGATGATAATGGCAGACATGCCTTACACCTGCACCCGTGTAGTTGTGGCAGACATGGCAACAGTGATCAGATGCTCAGCCCTCCTGTGCTGCAGTTTTTCTCAACATTTGTTACGTGAAATTCCCACTCTTTGGTAAGGAGTTGTGAGAAACACGTTGCTGTTGCTTCTCCATTGTAGCCTGGTCCATGTCTCCCTGAAGGTTTTAGGAAAGTGAGGAAATACAATAATAGCGCTGATGGCTCTTACCAGGCTGCTTCTGCAGCCCTCTTTTGTGCCTTCTTTTGCTTCTTGGAGCACGAGAAGGACTCAGTTGTCAGATTAAACACAACAGCATCATCAGGAAAACGTGAATGATGTGACCCCACCACACAGGGTGCTGGGGGCAGCGCAGTACTGGGGGGAAGCCTGCTCTGTGCCAGGGAGATGTCATGGGCTGTGGTGCAGGATGCTGGGGGAGCCTGTGTCACATGAAGGGCTGTCCATGGAGTGTCGGGTGATGCAGGTGTCACAGCATCACTGCTGTTTTGGTGCTAGCTCAAGGGATCAGTGCCTTGCTGTATTTTTTACCCAATGTGACATATAGGAAAAAAATCATAGTTAAAAAAAAAAAAAATGACATGGAGCCCAAAATAGAGCAGCTAAACCAGGACCAGAGAGCATCATCTGCAAAGAGCAGCATCTGAAAAGCAGAAGTCTGGGCATCTTGTATAGCCCCGTACCCATGCAACTCGAGCTTTCTGAAGAAAAACAGCAAGAACCTCCAGGGCTGACAATGGACAACTATTTGGCCAAGGGAAAGAAATAAAAGTCACAGATACAAATGGCTCTGCTGACTGCTCCAAATGGTTGGCGTGTTGTGAATTGAACTCCCTGACCCCAGTTGCACTGACCGAATGAGCAGTGGGAACAGCTGCACCCAGCCCTCCTCCCACCTGGATTTAGCTTCTGCCCCACTCACAGGGGAGGCTGTTTTCCAGGTTCCACCCCATACGGAGGGCATTGCACCCTATGGGCTGCCCGAGAGAAGGGCACATCCGCACCCACAGGCTTTGCTGCCATGGGGCTGTCGTGGGAGCTGCTGGTAGCACAGCTGACCTGTGCATGCCCTCGTGCTGCTGCTCCCTCCTGATGTTTGTGGGGAAGAAGGGAGGGAGGGGTGAGAACTGCCTCCTGCTAGATGTAAAAAATGTGGGAAAGATAAATAAATGGACCATGAAGGAGCCAATCCTACTGTGCTTTTTAGTGCTCTGGCATAATTTTGGCCCCATGCTTTGTGGCAGGAGATGTGAAAAGAGGAGAGGATGTACTTTACAGGGAAACACCAGAAGGAAAAGTGTCTCCCACCTAAATGTGTGTGGAAAAGAGGCAGGGTCAGGAGGGGTGGGAGAGCTGAGAACAGACAGACAGGAGCTTGGCTGGTTTCATCTTGTGAAGAATTCCCTAGCATGTGTTGGGTGGGATTCACCTGGCTCCTGCATATTGAGTCCATCCAAAATTAAACTGTTGCTAGTCAGCAGAGCAGGAAACCATGAGTTATCGCAGGTATATAGCAAGTAGCACAGCTGATCTCTACTGCAGGAAGCAGGAAAATGAAATGTTTTCCAATTACGGCCAAGAGCAAGGTGAGGGGCCATGCTAGGTCATGGCTGTACGTGAGCACTCAGTCGTTTTACCCACTTTAAATGTTAGCAACTGTTTAGCCCACTTTAAATGTAAGCCCTAGAGCTTACCAGGAGGGCCCTGCACTCACACAGGGCCCTGTTCCTTGCAGAAGTTTCGTGTTTCAATGCTATTAGTTGGCTTTAGGGGTTATAACCATCTACCCTCTCCTCTGCCCTCTGCCAGCCTTAAGGATGCCACTTATTCAGAAACAGAGCTTAGGCATCCTGTTTACAGGTGTTTAGGGCTGTGAGTTTACTTTGTGTGTATGCTCTTGTCCCCTACAGCAAGCTATACAAGGGTGATGCAGGCTACTGCAGCATGTACAGAGGTGAGGTGTGTAGTGGTATCTTGGCAAAGGATGCTCTTGTTTTCTTCAACTCCTCCTATGCTGACCCAGAGGAGACCCAAGAGCTGCTTGTGCACACTGCCTGGACTGAACTGAAAATGGTGAGTTCATTCTGCCAACCGGCTGCTGAGTCTCTGCTGTGTAACTACATCTTCCAGGAGTGCAATCCCTCAGGAGCTGGCCCAGCTCCAAAACCAGTGTGCAGGTAAATGAAAAAAATAATAAATAAAATGCTCATCTTTCACTTCTTTTTCATGGGGATGTGTAGGCACCAGGGGAGTGGTGAAGGTCTGTCCAGATCTGGAGTAGCACTGAGTGAAATTGGGCCCTCTAGGTTTGCATGTGTTTTCCTTTTGCTCTCTCCTCTGTACACACAGAGACGACCGACCTGATCCAGCTGTCTCTGTGCTCACTGCTAGGGTGACTGACTTTCAGGCCCAGATGTCTGTGTTATATCAGGCTTTTAGCAGACAGTGTTGAAAAGAAATATCCATTTGAATGACATAATTGATTTAAATTATTAACATATTGCTATTGATTAAACCTTACTAGGTCAGTATGTACTCATTGTTATTATCAAAAGTAATTGCTTGTTTAGAATTTTGACTGGATATAGTCACAGTGAGTGCAACAAATCTATCCAAGGCAATAAACTAATCATTCAGCACTTCTCACAACAATGAAGATGAAACATAAAAAGACGACACCAGAGACACTGCCAGTGTAGTTGTACCTGCTAAACCAAACCTCCCATCTGGCTCTTGTATCCTCCCATATGCAGAAAATGTGCAGCAAAACAGAGCTGTCAGGGGCTCCAAGGAGCCCCGAGCATCTCCCACTACAGCTAATATACTGCCAACAGGTGTCTGTGCAATAGGTCCCAGTGAGACAGACACTGAGACACTGCTCCCTCACAATGCAACCTCTTGAGCAGCCCTCCCCTCATTGCTCCTTGTCCTCCCACCATGGCCAGATGGTGGGATGAGTTTTCTCCCTTCTACTTTACAGTGAGATTTTAATCTTCTCCAACTTGTCAGACTAGAATCAAGCAGGTTTTCCAAGCTCTGCTCTTAACTTTTGCTTTCCTGGCCTCTGAAGCTTCTGCTCCTCATCCTTCCTGAAGCACTAGATATATATAGCCCAGGTTCTGTTAGTTTTAACTCTAACAAAATGATGATTGCTTGGTGTACCTTGGAGAGAACAGTTCATATAGATGTCTCAGGGTGAAGTTTTCTGTTTCCTAGCGCTACTGATCCATTTTCTGCCCCTGGAGGACTGTTACCTGGTCATTACCCATTTTGCATTTGGGCAGCTGCCACCTCTGCGTAAGTGCAGTACTTTGCTCTTGTCTTCCTTGAAGTGCATCTTAAAACAGATTATTCAGATTTGTTTTCAGTGGGAGAGCCCCAACTCCAGCGTCTCAACTAAATCACAAATCTTCTCTGCAGACGTGGCAAGCATACGTCCAGCTGGACTTGGGAGAGATGTAGTCTACAGGCAATTACTTTTCCAGTTATGTAGGGGTTTTTTAGGGCAATCAGCAGCACGTTGTCTTTGTGTCAGGACCTTTCTGATTGCCCCTCTTTTAATATCTCTAAAATGAAGGCACAGGTGAAAATCCCACTGCAAAGCTTGACAATACATTGTGTTCTCTATTTGGTTTCTGTGAAGTTCAGTATTCCTCCGCCAGCACAGTAGTGGTAAATATCCTGCAAAAGAAGAGTATGTGCAAGATAATCATGCAGCCAGGTACTGCTTTTTGCTGGCAGACTCCTCCCTGCCACTTTGTTGTTCTGGTCTTTGTCATTGTGCCCTGCAGTACATGATCTCTCTGGCTTTTTTCAAGATGCGTGACAGTACTTATATCTGAGCCACACATGCACAGCACATTTGTCAGCTAAAGATTTTGCACAGTACTCCAAAAGGCATTTCAGTGAGATCTGGGTCTGGCTTCATTTACCCCTGCTCCTAAGTGGCCTTGCAGGACCAGAGCTTGTAGTGATTGGACTGAAGACCTGTACTTCTGAGGCACTTCTGAAGTCGGAGTGACATAAATCAACATAAATCTGCACTCAATCTCAAGCTAAAAGGCACAGCATTTGCAAATGTCTAAATCTTAATGGACTTGCCTGGCGTCATCTTTCTTCAAATCCACAAGTCAGTGTTATGTTTTTCCACTTTAATGATTTTCCCCCGTGATTTTAATGCAGATTTAAATGCATCTTTCTTCATGACAAGAGCCCTGGAATGGCATCCTTCCTGTTTCCTGTTCCCAGAGCACATCAGCTGGACAACAGGTCTTCCAAAGCCATAACCCAATACTTGTTTTTATAACACAGATATCTAATAGGTTCTTGTGAACAGCTGAGACCTCTGGGGGCTCTTGAAAACATTTCAGATGATCTTGGTTACTTTCCAATCGTCTTATCTGCTTTTTACTGACAACTTCATACTTCTCTGCAGAAGCTGGCCAAACTACACCAGTTTTCATCTGAAATACTTCATGAGTAAGAATTTAACTATCTCAGAGGCTGGAGGATTCTCCCAGTTTTTGAAGTACATATTTCCTTTAACATATTTCTGTGTGGTTTTTTTTTTCTCTTAGCTTTTTTTTTTCTTTTTGCTTTTTTTTTTCTCTGCACCATTTTTTATCTTCCTCTGTAATTTTAAATGTTCGTCTCGGTTCGGAAGCTAGCTAGCAAGAATACCAACTGATAGACTGAGTAAAGCTTTTATAAAAATAATCAGGGAGCTGAACAAGATGAAGTCAAGCAGAAGAAAAAAGCATGGGAAAAATTTCAGTTTGTGTAAATTAGGATGCAATTTGATTAAAATTACTGTTTTCCTGGGTTTAAGGGAAAATGATGTCTCATCTCGTAGTTCTTGATTACGTCTGCATTCTACCACTGGCAGCTTCTGTGAAAAGAAGCTGTGAAAGAAAAACTCTCAATTTCTCTTCCAATCTTTGCTGATATGAAGTGACCAGGCTGCAGCGAACAGTCTCATCTTGGGAAATATCTCACTTTGGTCAGGTCTGTGTGTCCCCACCTCCTCTTAAACAGTCCTTTATGGTCCCTAAAATGCTACTGGCCCATGTGCCATCTTCTGCTGTCACTGTTCTTTGTCCATCTGTCTCTTACATGACATAAATTTTCTAATAATAATCTGAAATAATCTTTGCATATGATCTCACCAAGCTCTTGCTGCTCAGGATTAAGTGTTATAACAATGGTATGAACACAGCCCAAAGAGACTGATCATCCCTCCCTCCAGCTGCCTCACAATGCTCCTCAGACGGGTTTGTGGGTGAAGGTAACCTCTCTTTAACACTAGAGTGGACAGGATTGCAAAGGAATGGTCTTTTGCATTTCGCAGTTACATAACAAATAAGGGACTTGTTTAAGGATGCTCAGGCTTCAGGAGTGAAGGAAGCTACTGCAATCCAAATCTCCCATGTTGGCCAGTGTTTCATATGCAAGATTTTCTCATTTCTCTAGCTAAACATTTATTCATTCACTTCAGAAATTAATTCCTGTTCTACATGTTTAACATAAAAAAGATAAATTATACCATGTGGCTGCATTCTGGCTTTCATGGACATGAGGAAGAATTAAACCAGAACTGTCTAAAACAAAGCTGGGCTTCAACGGCTGCAGCCTGCAGACTTGAAGGGCATTCATTACTGTTACAGAAAAGCTGCTGCCATGGTAGAATTCCCAATGGCCTCCATCCTTTAGGTGCTTTAGAAGGTTTGCAGTGTTGTTAGTAATCGTTGAAACTCATGGCCATCTATTGTTACCCAAACTGTTGTATAAGTAAAGAGACTGCATCAGCCCATCAGGTGATGAATTTGCTAAAACCTTCACCACGGACCCCAGCGATATCTCTCTGCATTGGTGTGTGGTGGTTGGAAAGGTCGTGGATCAGCAAAGGGCTTCAGCTGAGCTCAGCAAAAGCTATCTGCACATAATCTCAAAGCTGATTTTGCAACTGAGGTTCTCATGAATGAGTAAATAAATAAGTAAATCACTGATAAGTTGACTAATTGCAACAAATCCTCAAACTTCCTAGTTTGGTACAGTTGTAATTTTTTTGTTTCCTTTTTTTTTTTTCTACGGCACACATTTCTGCCTTACCCTTCTTTACTAAGAGTTTCTGATCTAAGGAACAGTTAAGCAACCAAAAAACCCATTCCTTGTTAGTGAATGTTCTGCATTGTTATGGAGGTAATACATTAGGTAGGAAACGGTTAGGTCTCTTGTTTTACCAGGCACTGTAAAGGTTTTGCTGCAGACAGCTGACAGATAAAAAAGGGACTAAAAGTTTTCTGTGGAAAAAAGAAGAAAATTAGATGGGTGATTCTGTGAGATTAAAAATACAGGCAAATAGTTTAAAAAGGTGAAGAATTGCATCTCACCTCCTGTCTTTATTAGATGACACTTTAGTGTACAATTTGCAGGAGACAGGTGAGACTTTTAGAACGTACTAAAAAATGCTAAGGTAAATCCTGGACATGATGTTTATTAGTAGAAGATGTCAATACATCTGTAGGAAAAAATGAAAATGACCTCCTCGCAAACTGCAATATGTGTTGTGTTTTGAGCATAACCCTGCTTTGTTAAAGACGTATTTTTGCAGGTTTCCTAAAGGAAGCTGCTGTGTTTTATACAGAGCTTTTGTTATGGTTTATGAGTGAGACTGGCTTAAAGTCATAACCCTGTTAATGGATTTCTGTCAGCCTGCATAACCCTGCACACCACTGCTAAGTGCAGCCATTGTTATCAAGCCATTGACTGCTATATTTCACTGTTTTTTGCAAAATAATGTAGAGAGAATTGCCTTGCTGTAAAGGATCTCTACTGCTTTAAGGAATTGCTCTCAATGGAGGAAAACTCTCAGAAGGGGATTTACAAGCCAGGGCTGATGCTGCTGACTCTTCCTGAATGCAACAGGCTGCCCAGCCTCCACCAGGACCCCAGCGCCTGCACCCACATCCCTTTCTTTGGTAAGGTGGCACACGCTGCACATTGTTTGGAAATCTGTGTTCTTAGTGAGGGAGTGGGGAAGGATCCAATGCATAATTTACAGCTAAAGGAAAGGCTGGTGGGTACAGTCCTGTCAGTGCCTGTGCATGGAACTGTGACAGCTTCACTGGTTGCTTGCCTGTCTCATCCAACCAGTGTGAGGGAAAAAACCCCGAAGTGAACAAAGCCTAGCTCTTTATTGAGAAGGTCATAACAATCTCATTGCCAAAATCAGTCTTAATGATGGCAAAATTGCCATTCAGGTGCCTCTGCAAAGAAGCAACCTGCTTAAGCACTGCTGGGAGGAAACTTTTTCCCATAGCATGCTCCTAAGCAAGCATGCAGTTATGTCACATGCTGGACAACTCCTGCTTACGTCTTGTCTTGTCTTTTTACAGATTTTAAGAAGGAGAATATAACCAGTAAGTAGACTGCTCCAGAAGTGGGCATGATGTTGTTTGTTGAGGATGCAGCTTGCACAATATTTTCGTGTTTTGTTCTTGTCCTAGCTGGCTGGATTCGGGTTATTCCCAGGGAATGCCTGAGTTTCCACATCCAAGATATGGGGAAACACATTCCCAGCTCTTTAGAGCCTGGGGAGAAAATAGGATGGTAACTGTTGAAGGCAATTAGAGAGGCATGGTGCTTTTAGGTGGCACCCTCTCTTCCAGCTGTTTCCCCTTCTTTCTACCCACTGCTTCTAGTTTTGCTTTACCCATATTTGGTATTTTTAATACACCCCAGTCTTCTGTGTTGTTATTGATCCTGACATGGTTACCTACATCAGACTGGCCTTGCAAGAGCAGAAGGTCCCAGCACTTGCCTCCAACCAGCTCTAAAGTCTGTCTGTTTCTCATATTACCCTCAATGACCAGTGGTGAGATCCAGCCACCCCCTGAAGCACTGCTGTGACTTTGGTCAGCCTCCTGCCCTGTTGCTGGTCCTGGCTGAAACATGCACATCCAGCGCTTCCAACTGACATGCAATTGCAGTTTTAAAGCTTAGCCACTGAACTTATCCAATTGGAGAAGGAAGAACCTCCCTCCTGCCATGCTTCTGATCAGGCGAGGTCTGCGGATTTGGCAGTGGCAGGTACCTTCTGCATGGACAGAGAAAGTGAAGAAGTGAAATTGAGAGTTTCATGGAATTTCCTTTCGTGGAAAGGCCTTGGCTCTACCTGGCCACCCAACCCCCATGCACCCAGTGCTGCACATCTGGAGACAAGTGCTTTAGTGTCCCATGGGCATTCAAATATCACAGTTAATGCTTACAGCCCACAGCTGTAGACATCCCTTCCCTGGGGAAAGGAGCATGAGGGATGGCTGCCAGCAAATGAGTGGTGCAGTCACAGGTTGGTTTCAGCTCATTGGTTTGCAAGTTCAGTACATGGCCTCTCTCTCCTTTGTAAATATATCACCTTTTTGTCAGCTTTCACAGTATTTTCCCAGGGTAGCATTGCACAGGTGTGCACTATTGGGTCATGAATCAGGAGACATAACAGTAACATTTTAGTGATATTGCCCCCTCTTTTTTACTTTGGATCCGCTGTTACATGCACAAGGGTTTGGGAGCGTAAATGGAACCATTTTCTAGCTTGTCCATCAAAGTTATTCATTAAAGCCCAGTGGGACCACCTCCACATTGCTCCTTGAAGGTGTCGCACTGATGTTTATTTCAGATCTGTGCAGAAGTTTTTCTCATGTTGGTTACTAGCTGAGTCATGAGGAAGGTTTCAGGCACTGCTTTCCTTGCCTTTGAATGTGAGACATTTAAAAATTATGGGCTCAGACATACAACTATGTTCTAGGGCAGCTTAACAAGATTTTGCCCCTCTGTGGAGGGTACAGGTGCTGGCCACGTGGGGGTTGTTATCTTGTTGCAAATGTTAGGCATAACATGGTAACTTACATATCAGTCAAATGTGTTCAAGTTTGAGCATTTTTCTTTGCAGCTGTGACAGGTTAAGTGTGCTCATGAAGTTTATGGCCACTCATATATGCACTGTGCATATGCATATGCACTGTGAACTGCATAGATGCAGCACAACCATCACAGGTGCATGGCCTGTTTCCTCAATCTGAAAGAGCTACAGTTTCCTCTTTGGAGTTTTACCAGATTTGATCTTATGTATTGAGCTCAAAATCCATTTGAGTGCGAACAGCAGCCTAAGCAGTTCCCTGCCTGCATTTGTCTGGCACTTCTATGTGCTTCAAATATGTTGCCGATTGCCACATGCTCTCGTGTAACAACACAGTTTATTTCTGTGAGTCCCTGCTGGAGTACATGGTCTGAGGTGCCTTGACCTGACGTTTGTTTTTTTTTTCAGGGACTTGCTACAACAGCAATGGACAGTCTTACCAGGGCTGGGCCAATGTCACAGCCTCTGGCATTCCCTGCCAGAAGTGGAGCGACCAGGTGCGCATCAGTGTGAGACCCACTGAATGGAGACCCATGCTTGAGGCCTGGTTCTCCAAAGAGTTTCCCAGAGCTGGGCAGCACAGTCCCAGTGGAAGGGCTGAGCAGGGAACAGGTTGTCTGCATTTTTGAGTTCACTGGTGTTTCACACCCTTGTCATGTTTCGGTGTGCAAGTTCCCGTTTCTGTGTCATGATGTGTTCTCTGTCATTCTGGCAGGCAACTGAAAGGCTCTTTTACCTCAGCCTTTCTTTGCTCCTTTGTTTTGTTTGGTTTTGTTTACCAGCAGGAAAAAAATTATACTGAAACAATAATCCAATTTTTTTCCTCCCCCAAGGCTCCCCATTTGCACAGGAAGACTCCTCAGGTTTTCCCTGAGCTGTCTGATGCCGAGAATTACTGCCGCAACCCAGGAGGTGAGAACGAACGTCCCTGGTGCTACACGAAAGACCCATCTGTGACCTGGGAATACTGCAACGTGTCTCCCTGTGGAGATGGTAGGGAACCACAATTCATGATTTCTGTCACTGTTGTTTGGGGTCATGCAGGGTGTTAACGTCATGGTCACACCATTCTGTTCTGTGTTCTGCATTCAGCAGTCCTGGTTCTTCTCATAGGTTCACCCAGCACCTTTAACCAGAAAATGTAACATGCTCCTTAAATATGGGACTATGAAGATAGGCAAATTGAGCTCCTTACCCCACACTGTACTAAGACCAAATGATGAAACCAGATTTCCTGTGGTATTATGAAAAATGGATTTACCACACTGTGCTTTGAGGAGAAGGTAGGGTTTGGGGCTTTTTTTGAAAGTTGTTTTGCATCTGGTGATTCTTTTCAGTAACAAAAAACAAACCTAACTAAAAACAAATCTGGAAAAGATCAAAACATCTTTGCTCTGTGATGTTGAAAGTAAGTCTTTCTGTTATTTATTTTCCAAGGAACAGAATAATTTTTGAAACATATTTCATCCAAGATGCACAGTTTCTGGACCTCAGTGTTTGGAAATAAGACAATTCTGCTTGCAGAGAGCAGGGGTGCTGTGAACTTAAGGGAACACAAGGCAGTATCAGTTTCACTGGCCTTAAAAAAAAAATGGCTTAAATTTCTTTCTGTTCTCAGTCATTGCAGGTACAGACTAGATTTGCTACAGTGCCTCAGAAAGTACCCAGCAGGTGTCTACCTGAATATTATTATTTTTTTAATGATACAGCCAAATGTATTTTACACTCGTTTACCATATTTGCCCCATAAGGACACCAAGATGCAAATTGGTGGAAGCAAGTGGATATTTCAGGAAAGTATCACTGTGTACTTACTTGGTATTACACTCCTCCCTGCAGATTCCATTTAGGACACATGATAGATTGTGGTCCACATTGCAGACCATTGATCTTTCCCACTGCAGACATTACTATATTTGAATACTGTTGAGACCATCAGATGTGAGCTCCTATCTGTATCTCTTGCAAACACTCCATACCAGCTCAGTGGGAACTGTGTCTCAGTCTTTACCAGATACTGAGTTTTTATATGTGGTAAGCAAAAATAAGTTTTGCTACCTGCAAACGAGGCTTCCATAATATGGTACACTCACGCAGTCATGTGGTTGTATATGTAATGTCAGTAATTCTCAGGACATCATAGAATCATGGAATCAACTATATTGGAAAAGACCTTTAAGATCATCAAGTCCAACCATTACTCCAGGACTGCCAGGTCCACCACTAAACCATGTCACAGGGCCTCATCTACAGGGGTTTTGAACACTTCCAGGGATGGTGATTCTACCACTGCCCTGGGCAGCCTGTTCCAATGCCTGATTGCCCTTTTGATAGAGAATTTTTTCCTAATATCCATTCTAAACCTCCTCTGTCACAGCTTGAGGCCATTTCCTCTTGTCCTACCACTTGTTACTTGGGAGAAGAGACCAACCACTTCCTCTATCCATCCTCAGGATGTAGAGAGTGATAAGGTCCCCCTTGAGCCTTCTCTTCTCCAGGCTCAACACCCCCAGTTCCCTCAGCTGTTCCTCATCCGACTTGTGCTACAGACCCTTCACCAGCTTCATTGCCCTTCTCTGGACCTGCTCCAGCACCTCAATGTCTCTCTTGTAGTGAGGGGCCCAGAGCTGAACACAGGATTTGAGGTGAGGCCTCACCAGTGCCGAGTGCAGGTGGATGATCACTCCCCTGGCCCTGCTGGCCACACTATTGCTGATACAGGCCAGGATGCTGTTGGCCTTGGCTGCCTGGGTACAAGCAGGCTCAAGTGCAGCCAGATGTCAGTCAACACTCCCAGCTCTCTTATCAGGCTGACTCCATGAATACCTCTTAAAAAAAGCTTAAGAAGGCTTCTTAAACTAGCAGAAGCATAACCTGTTGATTTTGTTTGCATTACAGAGTCATTATCACTAGGAACAAGAAAACCAGTTGGAGAGACTCCAAATCTGCCCCCTCCTCCTCCATTTTCCCCTACCTACTCCATGACTGTTATCATCTCCATCATCTCCAGCTTTGCCCTGGCTGTGATCCTCAGCATTGTGACCTTGGTTTGCTGCCGTCAGCGAAAGCAGTGGAAAAACAAAAAAAGGTAAACTTTGGGACTTAATTCAAGGCAACAAATGCTGCTTTGAAAGAGAGTTTGCCTGTTTCTCAGATCGTAGTCCTGTTAATGCCTGTCAGGTGGAGACCAGTCCTCCCTTTGCCTGTGACAGCCCAGTGCAGGCTCTGGTGAGTCTTTGTGGCCCAGTGTCTGTTCTGGGGACATGGCATGACACCTTGCTGAAAGGCTTTTTCAACAGACCTGCTGCACCTCCCTTTTCTATCCTGGAAGAAACCAGCCCTGGAGGAGATGCAGATAGATAGGTATCTCCTGGTTAAGGGCTATGCACACACTGACTGGAAACTGCTCCATCATTTCAGGCAGTCAGAGACACCAACGCTCACCACTCTGCCCTCTGAACTCCTCCTGGACCGGCTGCACCCAAACCCAATGTACCAGAGGATGCCCCTTCTCCTCAATCCAAAATTGCTCAGCCTGGAATACCCTAGGAATAATATTGAATATGTGAGAGATATTGGGGAAGGAGCATTTGGGAGAGTCTTCCAAGCCAGGTAAGTGGCTTGTGTATTAGTCCTCATCTGAAAGTATCAGGGAAAAATTTGCAGTTAGGCAACCACCTATCTGGGCAATGGAAATTATTCATTCATTCATCCATTTTATTAAACCAAGGTTAAATACACGTGTACCAAACGATACACTCAGGCTTAAATTATTGTTTCTGTTGTCCATTGCTTTCTGTTGATATTTGTTAAACTTTTGTCAAACATGACTCTTCTGGTCTCTCTAGTAGATATGTTTTACTCACATACCAAAGTCTGGTGTAAAAACTTAGCTGAATTTATCATCACTGTTTTTGCCAAAAGCATTGCTTCTGACATGTGATCTATTGTGAAATTCTTGCATTTCTCAGTCAGTGTGTGGTGTCCTCCATTATAACGCCAACACTGACCAGTAACTACCACAGAGGACAATGTGTCATGCTACAGTTAGGTCCTGACCCAGTTTCCATTTGATTCAGTGGCAAAACCAAACCAAACCAAACCAAGAATCCCCTAAAACCCCAACCCATTTAGGCCAATTCTTTTTTTTTTTTTTTTTTTTTTTTTTTGTGTGTGTGTGTGTGTCCTCTTTTAGTTACTCATTCTTCTTGGAATTTGCAGCCATTGTTGCCTTTTTTAAATTTGAGGTATTAGATGAGATCCCAGTTTTGTTAAATCTCATGAGAGGTGAGATCATGCACTTCTTCAAATGTGAAAAATGTCTAAATGAAAAACCCAGCCATGAACCTAGTCCTGCCTGGACTGAGGTGGATGGAGGGTGTCTTGTTAGCCTGGACAGTGTCCGTAATTTCTGCAGGACAGCTTTTGCTCAGTATTGGTATCCTTGGAAAATCCTATCCCCAAATTCCTGAACGTGGACAGACTGTCCAGTTCTATGTTTATTTAGGACAGTTTTCTTTGTCCTGTACAGTTAACAAATCTGGGATGTGGCTGATTTTGTAGTGTATCTGGAGTAGTGTATGATGACCTCAAGACAACAGAGGAGTGTCAGAGTCCCATCACAGGCCAAGACCTGCCTGGTAGAACGGCTCCCATTGACTTCAAAAGACTGTCCTTGAAAAAGCAGTTATAATTGCAGATACTTCTAATGTTTATGATTATGCTGTTGATGTATCTGCTAAGAAATGAGTTACGCTCAGGTTAAATGTGTTAGAGAACCGGAGCCACACGGATTTTTTTTCTAATGGAGGGAGGTTTTTTTTTCTGATGGAATAAATGCAGGCATGCTTTCCTTTAACACAGAAGAATAACACACTAAAAAAAGTTTGAAGGGTGTGCAGTGGGAAAATCACAGATGCTTAGCCTGTAATTGTTTGCTGGCCTGGATGGCAAAGCTGAATACATGTGATCTTGAAAAGAGAGCAAAGCTGTACAAACCACTCCACAGCTGTGTGTGGGGCACTGCCTGTGAGCTGGCACAGGGGGACAGGGCAGCCCTCCTCCCAGCCTCAGCATAGCACTCGGGATGCTGTGTAGTGTCTCTGCTGGCATGGCTGGGGTCCTCACCACACTGCAGATGCACAAGTGGTCTTCCTGCCAAATGCTTCTTCAGCCCTGAGCTGGGAGATTCAGGATAATTTAAATGCTGCACAGACCTGTCTGAGCTGGAAATTACTCTCACTCGCATTGAGCAGGACCTCTCAAAGGACATTCAAGTATCACTAAAGTTGTGTTAAGCAAGTGCTAAAGTGGTGTAGACAACTTTGATGTGGATTTCATCCACCCCAGTGCTGCAATCTCTTTTAATTAAACCTGTCAGTGGAAACAGGGAAAGAAAGAGAAGGAGAAAAAAAAAAAAGCAGCACATCTTCTTAGCCAGCATTTGCAAAGTGGATTGTACCATGGTACCATACCCTAAGAAAACCCTTGCTCTCTGTGGCTCAGGAAAGGAGCCACAGAAAGATTGCTTCTAAGAGGCTTACTTATTCATATCCTAACAAAAGTCCCTTCAAGGTCTGGTATTTCCAGGGAACAGTTAGGCCACTGGCATTTCTATGCACCACTGGCACATGAGTGCAGACTTCTGATCCAGCAGCACCAGCTGTGCATCCCTGCATGTTAGTGAAGCTATCACAACTCAAATTGATTGCCTTCCCATCTCAGATGGATAAAATGTACTTGTCTGCGTGTGTTAAATGGACATCTTGAGCTAAGTTTAGCAACCCTTTTACTTCTCCTGTTCTCATGTTTCTCCCTCTCCTGTAAACACAGGTCTCTGCATGGTGCCAATGATGCCTTTGCCAGTTGGCTTGCTGTGAGTCCTGATTCAGTGTTTACTCACTCCTGGGTCAAGCAACATGTTAGGACAGGAAGTGTCTGGCTATCGTTTACTAGCTTCTCCTGAAAGGCTGCTGTCTTCACTGGAGGCAGCTTCACACTGAATGGATGAGGAAGTAACCAGTTACCATAACAGATATCCTTCAGATAAGATTCAGGCACCCAGCTCAGGTCTGCCCTGGCTGGATTGCGATGGCCAACTCAGAATCATCTGCCCCAGGGAGGACCATGCTGGCCCCACATGCTGCCAGAACACCAGTCCTGTGCAGTTCAACTCAGACCAGGATGCAAGTTTTCTCCCAGAGATGGAGCTGTATGGTCCAGGCTAAGATTGCCTAAAGACCTTGATATGAGGTCTTTGCTAGCAGGCCAGTAAACCTCCACTGCAAAGGCACAGCTCATAATCTCTGCAAGAGGCAAGGCTGTCCCTAAGGTCAGAGTTTCTCTGACAGGAGTCTCCTCATGTTCTTTCCAAGTGCAAAGGACGTTTCTCTGACCTGCTTTCTCAAACACAGCTGAAAAACAGTGTGGATGTTAATCCAAAACACTGTGAACAAAACGAGCCCTTGCCATTTTAGACCATTCTGACCACATATGAATTTCCCCAAAGAATGGGGTAAAGTTAGGTCTGCACCAGCCCCAGTAGATGTTAATCACATCATTTATTTATTTAACAGAAGCTACCCAGCTGTGATACTGACGAAGCTGGGGGACAGGGGACAATCTCAAATACAGGTTCAAGCTGCTCCTGGTTGGTTTTTTTTTGGATTCTTTTTTTGTTGTTGTTTTTGGTTGTGGGGTTTTTTGTTTTGTTTTGGTTTTTTTTTTTTTTTTTTTTACTGCTCTTGAGAGAAAACCTGATTGGAAACTAAAAGTCAGGCACTCCCTGTAGGCAGGCTCAGAGTGAAATCCCTGGCTGCACCTCTGGTTAGTTCTTTGAATGGCAGGGACCTAAAAACC